AAAAAAATGAGGCCAGGCATGGTGGCTCATGCCTGTAATCCCAGTACTTTGGGAGGCCAAGATTGGAGAACTGCTGGAGCTGAGGAGTTTAAGACCAGCCTGGGCAACATAGGGAATCTTGTCTTTTCAAAACATAAAATTAGCTGGGTGTGGCGATATATACCTGTAGTTCCAGCTATTTGGGTGCCTGAGGGGGGAGAATCACTTGAGCCCAGGAGGTTGAGGCTACAGTGACTTGTGATTGTACCACTGTACTCCAGCCTGGGTTACACAATGAGATCCTGTCTCAAAAAAATATAAAAAATTGAAAATAAAAAATTAAAAAAATGTATTGAGTGCCTTTAGGCAGTGTTCCAAGCATAGGCGAACAAAACAGTGGGGCTAATGCAGAAAAGAGTATCATTTTTGCACACATTTCTCTGGGTTTGACACTCTCTAGCGCTAATATGGACTAATCCACATTAGTAAGACATTAGTGGAATTGAAAAAGGGCTGCAGGTCAAACTGTGCACCCTCTTTCCCAGACCCCAGAACCTCAATACAAGCAGTAAAACAGAGAATACGAGGACTGTGGATGTGCCCTCCTCTGCTTTACCAAGGCCCAGTATCCCTGACACTGGCCACTTGCTTTTTCATATTCTTTCCGGAGGTTTCTTCTCACTGCTAGTAAATAGCAGTGCAAGTGTTAATATATTATGAGATAAAGCCACAATCACAATGATTAACTCCATGCAACATAGGAAAAGCCTTGCTGAACCGATGCCACAAAGTCAAGCATCTCCCACCCAGCCCTCTTAGTGTCCACCATGAACATCATCCTCACAGAGCAACTCCACCGCCTATTACAGGGAGGCCTCAAGCTTCAGCCCTAGGGGCAAAAGCAAGGCAGGGCTCAACAGTGTTCCAGAAATCAGGGGTGCTCAGGTAGAGAAGCAAAGTGGCCTTCCCAGGGATAGGACACTGAGGTCAAAAGGAAAGGTAGGAAAAGCCACAGAAGAATTGGAAGTGGCAGGAAGTCTAGACAGAATGAGCAATGTCTGGGGAAGAATAAATTATGGTAAAATCACATTTCTTTATTGTAAAAGCCAAAATCAAGGTGCAGGCATTTTTGCTGTTGACCTGAACAACAGAATGAGCTTTGTGCTCTGTGATGAGATAAGCGAGTAAGGGGTAAACCAAGAGGGGTTCACATGGAGTGCTTGAACATGATCCTTCAACAGGGAGAAGTCTTGGCCAACAGACCATTAATAATTGTCTGCTCCCTTCATTTGTGTAAGAAATGTGATTCACTCCAATAAAACTGGCTATTGGCAGAGGGGAATCTAAGGTCTGACTTGTGAGGCTAAAAGAGCCAGCTGTTCTAGCCTCCAGGGCTCAGTGAGAATTTCCTATTTCAAGTTAAGTTCCCAGCTGTCCCACAGCTTAGGAAAGGGGGTAAACCCAGCCACCCCCACCTCTAGACACATGCTCCAGCCAACAGCAGGAGTGTTACAGATTTTATCAGCATCTTAAATACATTAGGGGTTGAAATTAGACACCTTGGTGTGGTTTAAGAGCAAGAGAAGGGCCAAGTGAACCCAGGTTGGGATAACAAATGAGACAAGAGCCATGAGAAAAGGCCTGAGGTCCAACTTGCAATCGAAAGGTTTTCTAGCCTCCCTGAAATCCTACATCCAAGGGCCCCACACCCCAGTGGCCTTGGGATCACATCGGGGGTCTTGTGCAGGGAAGTACACAGGCACTGAATGTTTATGGTAGAACTGTAGGCGGGATAGAAGCTTTGTGACAATGTGAGGATATTCTCTGGACAGGTCATGTCTTTCTTCTGGATCCCGATCAATATCAAAGAGCCAGAGGGTCTTGGTTGGTGGGTCTGATGAGGGTATCTCAGAGACATTGTATTGAGATGGTGGAGGGAACCAGTAACCACAGCCTAGCAAAGAAAACAAAACAGTTTATTGAGGGAGAAGCACAGAGGGAGGTTCTAATTTCAGGAAAGGAGTCTGTGGCCAAGCCTACACTGGGTTGTGGGTGAGAACATATAAAAAGATGCGGCCCTAGATGCTGTCTCTAGATGTTTCTCAGACATCGACTTCTGGTGCTTTAGGCATGTCTCACTACTTCACAAGCATGGACACCCAGAAATGAGTGTGCATGTGTGTATGTCCTTGGACTGAGGCATAGGGGTCCTCCTGGCATTTAGTGAGCATGAGCCAGTGATGTTAATGCCTTGCAATACATGGGACAATCCCAGACAAAAAAGACTTGTCTTATTGCAATGCCAAGAATGTTCTCATTATAAACATTGGTTAATTATATCACAGCCTTAACCATCATCCCACATATTTTAAAAGTATTGAAAATATGCTACTCTTAGAGAATTTAATCAGGGGAGCAACCACCTTCCCCAGCGACACCACTGGTTGAGGGTGTAGCTCTCAGAGATCCTCTTTGCTACCCGAATGTGCTATGCTTGATAGCCACACATATTTAAAATCCATATTTTCCATGAAGCATCAGAGTGACATTTCTCCCTTTCACCCCTGCTACAGTTAATTCTCTCTTTCTCTCTCTCTCTTTTTCTGGTTAAGACCAGTAGGTTAAACCATTCCTCTTATTATCTCCTCATTCAGCAGACCCAGAGATAGGTTTGCAAAAGGCAGTTATTACTCGGTAAACTTCTCCTTGATGATCCACTGGGAAAGCTTACTCAGGCCATGACAAGAATGGAAGCTGTGCAATTGGAAACAGGCGGAGTCTCAGAAATGGGAAAAGAATACCCTGAATAAATAGTTGTCTTTTTAGGACATATATCAGGAGGGATCATGAAAGATTAGAAAGACAAGTTAAGATTTCAGGTATCTGAGCAAAGTGAGGTGAGTGGTAGGGCTTAGGAGCCTTGAGGAACGAAGGAGGAAGAGGCGGGAAATAGAACAAGAGTATTTCCTCCCTTTCCAGAGAAATGACCATGGGAATAAAATCCCAGGAGTGAAGGTAGACTGGAGACACTGCCCTGAGGATACAGCCCTGCTTTGTCTACTGTGAGAAGGGAAGTTTGCTAAGCTAAGCACTCTACCTGGGTAGCCCGTGAGGAGTTTCCAATTTCCGTGTCTAATTGCAGCATGGACAGATGTGTTAAAGGCTGAATGTTCTGGAAGAGAAGAGTCATCCTTTGCTGGAGCCATGCTGTTCCTGGGACCTGGGAAGAAATAGTATGAAAGAATTAGATCGCTGTTATTGGAACGTGTCGTTATAAATCAGCATTTTAGACCCTCGCAGAACAGTAGCTTTTATTCAACACTGGAGTGCAAATGTGCATCTTGCCACAGAAATGAATCTTCTATTAAATCCAAACAGAAAGCTATAGTTACACGAAATGTCAGTCATAAACCACTGCAAATATAAAAGAAATCCCAAAGAGATTACAACACTAATTCATCCTTAAAATCGCTATGTTCTGCCAATGTACAGCTGGCCATACGCAGAACAGTATTCCGTTACAGCAGGGTGACTTGGTTTTTTGGTTTTTGTTTTTGCCTGTTAAACATTTAAATACATTTTCTATGTATACTTATACCTACGTAATTAGTATAAGAAATTATAAAATGTACATTTTAATGCAGCCATCTCAAGCTATGAGAGTTCATGTAGGCCACGATAGAGTACAAAGATTTATTTTTAACAACTCTTATGAAATCTAAAAGTGAGCAGTGCTCAGTTAACTATTCAGACAGGATAACTATGGGGATAAGAATAAATGTGGTATACAAATTATTGGCTGGTATCATGGATTATATTAATTTATCATTTTTGAGGTCTTATATTAATTAATCATCAGGTTCATCTTTTGCTTTTGTGGGGAGCAATTACTAATCTCTACCCCCTCTTAAGTGTGAAACCAATTAAGAGGTAGAGGATACACAGATGGAGCTTCTGTTACTGACAAAATCGATTGGAGAGAATATGGCTTCAGATCTGCAGCAGAGAGATCTTGTTTGTAACTGACCCTTGACTTAGAAAGATTTGGCCCTCATCGTTGATCTTGCTGGACACCCATTGGGCTCCTTGAGCTAGCGCATAGCTGAGAGCAGGCCAGAGTGCTTATAGATCCAGGTGACAGGCTGGCTATAAACTGGACGGACAAAAGGGCCTGAGTTGAGCATGCTCCGTTCCTTCTTTTGAATAACTCCTTCCTTTGCCTGCTTATGAAAGAAGTGATGAACAAGGCAAGAGTTCTACTCTTATGGGAGATCCTGGTGGGTCCATGAGGGCCCTCGCCTCACTTTGACCTATGCATATGGTTAGAGCCTAGCTGAGTAACATGTAATCTGTTTTAAGCCCATATTTATCTGTTAGCTTTTCAAATATGGTCATGGCAATCATCTTGGGATCACTTCAAAAGGTTGCTGAACCACCAGCCTAGTAATTAATTGTCATAATATGTAATATGTGTGTAAAAGAACAGACTCCATTGGAGTGGCTAATGCATTAGTCCATCTGTCTGCCTTTCTTTGATAACAGACTTTGAGAGAGCCCTCATCCTCACCCAAGCAGATCTTCTGTGCTCCTTGGGGTTTTCATGCAGGGTGTGTCGGTGGTGGAAAAGGCGGGACATGACATTATTTTGGCAGTCTTTTGGAAATGACCTTGTAGAGACAAGTTAGAGACAGATCCAGCAAACATTGGTGCTTTCAGAGCTTCAGTCTCAACAATCACACGGCAACAAATCTTTAGCACAAACGAGGAAAATTGTTTTGACTTCTTGTTTCTCTGCTTGTGGGTATTTTGGCTCCAATACAAACAGATGCTTTTAGTACTTGAGGTGCATGAGGATGTCTATCACAGGAAGTGGTTGCTAACATACAGGCTGTGGTAAAACTGTGAACCCTCATGATTTACTTCTCACAAGTTTGTATGAAGGCCACATTTTGATACCAAAGAATGCTAAATAAAACAAGCACGTTTTGTGAACATAAACAAAAAAAGGAAATTTAACTGTCTCATCTGTACTTATATTTATACACATTTTTTTTTCTTAAAACAAACAGGAACATAAAATACCTAAACAATAAATATGCCTAAGACTAAACTATGAAAGATACTCTTATTTCGACTTTATTGTTTTCATTTTGAGAAATTAAACAGAGGGAAAATTACAAAGAATAATATGACTAACACCCTATGAACCATCATCCAAAATGAACAGATGTTAACATTTTGCCATATTTGCTTTTTTAAAAAAAATAAAACCTGGACAATAAAAAAAAGTCGAAGTCTCCTTCATCCCTGTCCTCAAACTCTGTCCTTTCATTTACTCCTCCAGAGGCTGCTGCTATTGTGACTTCAGTGCATCCTTCAGCCATTTTAAAATACAGTAGAAGACGTATGTGCCAAGGGATAATAGACAGTGCTGTTTTATAAAAGCTTTAAAAATATATGTGCATGCTGTTGGTGGGAGTGTAAATTAGTAAAGGTATTATGGAAAACTGTATGGCGGTTTCTCAAAAAATTAAAAATAGAACTGCCGTACAGTACAGTAATCTCACCAAGAAGTATTTATCCAAAGGAAAGGAAATCAGTATACCAAAGGGATACCTGCACCCCCATATTTATTGCAGCACTATTTACAATAGCCAAGATATGGAATCAACCTAAGTGTCCATCAATAGATGAGTAGGTAAAGAAAATGTGGTATATAGATACAACAGAATACTATTCATCCATAAAAAAAGAGTTGGTAAAGCCATCTAGGCCCAGAGTTTTCTTTGTGGAAAGGTTTGAAATTATTGATTTAATTTATGGAGCAGGTATAGGACCATTCAGATTTTCTATTTCTCCTTTTGTCAGTTTTGATAACTTGTATTTTATTATTATTTTTTTTGAGATGGACTCTTGCTCTGTTGCCAGGCTAGAGTGCAGTGGCACAATCTCGGCTGACTGCAACCCCCACCTCCCTGGTTCAAGAGATTCTCCTGCCTCAGCCTCCTGAGTAGCTGGGATTATAGGCACACACCACCACACCCCACTAATTTTTGTATTTTTAGTGGAGATGGGGTTTCACCATGTTGGCCAGGATGGTCTTGATCTCCTGATCTCATGATCTGCCTGCCTCAGCCTCCCAAAGTGCTGGGATTACAGGTGTGAGCCACCGTGCCCGGCCCAATAACTTGTATTTTATTAGGAATTTATGTAGTACAATGCGAACTTTTATTTTGTATTATCTTTTAAATGTTTGTAGCATCTGTAGTAATACTGCCTGCTCATTCCCGATATTGGCAACTCATGCTTCTCATTCTTGTCCAAGATATATTTTGCTAGTGTTTAATTGATTTTATTAGTCATTTCAAACAACCAGCTTTTGGCCTTGTAGATCCTCCCTGTAATATGTTTGTTTTCTATTTTATTAACTTTTATTATTTCCTTCCCTTTATTTTCTTTGGGCTTAATTTGTTATTCTTTTTATAACCTTTTGAGTAACAGATATTCAACATTTTCATTTCCAACATGTACATTTAATATTGTGAATTTTCCAAGCACCAATGTAAAAAATATGTAGTCTGATGTTGTTGGGCTCAGCGATCCGTATATCATTTAGGCCAAGTTTGTTAACTATGCTGCTCAAATCTTTTGTATCTTTATGGCCATTTTTGTTTGTTTGCTTGTTGTATCAGTTACTGAGAGAAGTATGTTAAAAATCTCTCCTATGACTGAGAACTATTTTGAAAACTCCTTCTTTAATTCTAATAATGCTTTCCTCCTTTAAGTCTACTTGTCTGATGTATAGATAGCCTAGTTTTAGCTGTCACTGTTGCTGCTGTTAGTACTTGCATAATATATTTTTTCCATCTGTCAACATGTGTGAGATTCTTATGCAATAGAAAGAAGCATAAAACAGGGTGTGGTAGGCAGGAAAATGGTCCCCCAAAATGTTGAGATCCTAGTCTCCCAGAACCTATGAATACATTACCTTCCATGCCAAAAGGGACTCTGCAGATATAAATATGGGTAGGGCCTGTAAGATGTGGGGATTATCTCAGATTTATCTGGGTGGGCCTGATCCAATGACGTGAGTTCATAAATACAGGGAGTATTTATTCATTATTTTTTTGAGACAGAGTCTCACTCTGTTGCCAAACGCCAGGCTGGAGTGCAGTGGCGCGATCTTGGCTCACTGCAACCTCCGCCTCTTGGGTTCAAGCAATTCTCCTGCCTCAGCCTCCCGAGTAGCTGGGACTACAGACACACGGAACCAGACCCAGCTAATTTTGGTATTTTTAGTAGAGACGAGATTTCACCATGTTAGCCAGGATGGTCTCGATCTCTTGACCTCATGATCCGCCTGCCTTGGCCTCCCAAAGTGCTGGGATTACAAGCATGAGCCACTGCACATGGTTGAGTATTTCTTGATTATGGTTGGAGGGAGACACAGCCATAGAAGAAGGTCCAGAGAGTTGGCAACTTTGTCTTCTAATCGATAGGGAGACAGAGGAATTTTAATATATTTTCTAAAGAGTGTATCATATAGTTCACATATGATCAAATTCACCCATTTTTAGTGTAAACTTCAATGGGTTTTAGTATGACAGTTCACAAAGCTGTGTAACCATCACCGTAACATATTTTAGAACATTTGCATCACCACAGAAAGAAACCCTGCACCATTAGCAGTCAATCCCCATTTACTCCCACACCCTCCAGCCCCAGGCAACCCTTACCCCACTTTGTGCTTCTTTGGATTTACCTACTCTGGACATTTCATACAAATAGGATCAGACAATATGTGGCCTTTCGTGTTTGGCTTCTTTCACTTGGCATAATATTCTCAAAGTTCATCCATTTTATAGCATGTATCACTACTTTATTCTTTTTTATTAATGAATAATATTCCTTTCATTGCTGTATATTACCAAAAAATAGACCACATTTTCTTTATTCATCAATTAATAGACGCTTCTTTGTTTATACTTTTTGGCTGCTATGAATAATGCTGTCACGAACATTCATGCACAATGTCAGTATGGATATATGTCTTCATTTCTCTTGGGTAGATACTACAAGTAGAATTGCTGGTTTATATGATAAGTCTATGTTTAATCATTTGAGTCACTGCAGAGCATTAAAAATTGGCTAAACTGTGTTCTGTATTATATTTTCAATTTTTTTTTTTAGAGACAGGATCTCACTCTGTCACCCAGGCTG